CCTAAAATCCGTCCTCCTGAGGTAAAAACTGAGAACGTAAACACAAGTGAGATTGTGGCATTGTGTCAGTTTGTGTCCAGGGGTCAGTTTTGTGTCAGTTTTAGCTTCACTTAATGGTAGTGAGTAGTAATCATCACAAACACAGACATGACCACATACAGTACCTGCCTGTTTGATGTTCTGGAATACAGTCAAGGTTGTTTTTTGTTGGTATACCACCCACAATGCATCTCAAGGAACCTCTGAAATAAAATAGAAATTAGTGCACATAAGTGCATGTTTAAAGACCAAAGAAAATTGGGAGTCCCAACTTTATGTTCAGAGAGATCCTGGGAAGTCTTACCCTGATGTTTGCAGAAAAAACAATTCTGTGATTAACAGAATATGCTAAAGAAGTGATTTCTGTACTTTATACTTTCCAGTTTTTTAGTTTGTAGCACATGCATAGCAAATCAAATACATAAAAATAAACTGGGCTCAGCTATGGAGAGGCCTAGTAGCCATGAAAAAAGAAAATCTTGGTGTAAAGCTTAAATCGTTATCAGAATCCATTTAAAGAGAGATGAGTTTATCCAATCCACAATTTATGATAATCTGTACCATAGGAAGGTGTTACCAGTAGCACATTTCACAGGAAGCGTGCATCACCATGCATGTATGAGCTACAGTACAGTAGTATAACAGTATGGGAAAAGACAGTAAAATGTAGGCTATAAAATATAAATGTTTCATTTCAAACAAATCCATGATTCTTTATAGAGTGGTAGCACTCTGTATAGTAAGGCAAATCTGGTCAAACTTCTCTGTCTTGTAGCTGCTTGTAACTTCCAGCAGGTACAAAGCCACACAGGTACACCAGGCAAATGACCCATCAGAGCCAGGCATTTAAAAGTAAAACCTAAAATGCACAAATAGTTGAGGTTTCTGAGTTAAATCCTCTCCCCCCCAGATTTTATAGTTGTACTTTTGCAATAAAATTTAATTTTTAACTTTTTAAAAAAATTTTCATTTAACAGAGCGCCACAGTGTTTAAATTACCCTTTTAAAATAATTTAACAAAGACAACCCCTGAAGCTTCCCGTCAGAGATCCTATTACTGCAATATATTTTTGGGTGCACCTTAAATATTCTTCTTAAATCATCACTTTCTTATGCCAGGGGTATTTAACTTGACTAATTGTGACTATCTTAAAAAATCTATTTTTTAAGAAGGTATTGTAATGTTCAGTGAAAAACTGTCTTTTCACTTGAACATCCAAGTCACAGGGTCTACTTTTCTTCATTTTTCAGAAAGACACACCTTCTGTAGTAGAATTTCCTTGGTGCCTTTCTATGTGCTGAACTATCAGCATAGCAATATGCCGATCCCAAGTCTCTGCTGTCCTGAAGCAAGGATAATGAGCCACGACACTCTGTGAACTGACATTAAGCTGGTCTCTGCAGTTTGACACTGTCAGTGAGTGTGTTATAGTTCTGCAGGGGTCAGTCTTTTAGCCTTCATACCACAACACAGGCTTCAGTTTCCTCTCAGTAACCCTTTGTCTGCACTTTGGTGACCCTTGTGTTTCCTTGTTTTGAGAGGGTGATCTTTGAAGTCCTTAGGGAAAAACTCCACAATTCTGAATGCAATACCTTACTGGAAGGCAAATGTTTGACTTCTGTACAGTTTCCCAATGTCATAATGCTCTGTAATGATGTCAAGTAACAGCCTTGGTAAATCAGGTTTTAAAATAGTAAAAACTAAAACCAAAACAAAGCAAAAAGGAACAAAAGTAAGCTTTTTGTGAGTAAAGCATGGACCCTTGTTAGTACGTTATAAAATTTACCCATATTACATTGTATTATGTAAATTCTGTATAGGGAGTTGCATTATTCATTTCAAGAGATTTGGCAAGATAAAGTAATCATTTAATGTACATGAATGAATGTACATTCACAAGGAGCATGTCCAGCTACAGAAATGAATTAATAAGGGCTAATTTCAAAGCAGTCCTTCAGTGTTCTGTGTATCATTTTTATCCAAACCTTTCTTTTGTGCCTTTTTTAATGTGAGATTGTCAAGAGACAGCTGTTACAAATGTATGGGCAGGTGCACACATTAAATGGCATGCTTTAAAAGCTATACAGGCTACAAAAATTTAGTCATTTGCATATAAATACATTTGTAAAACTTTTACAAAAGTAAAAATATTAGTCAAAATAGCTGACATTTCAGTGGAGTTTATCAGAGGCTTTAAGACCATTCTACCAGACCCCTACATACAGTACTGTCAGGGGATGCCACTTTGTGAAAGAACTTCTCTGCTTTAAGCAGTTCCAGCAGAGGTATGAATAATTGAAGGGCGTTTTCTGTAGTCTTTGAATTTTAAAGCTCTTGTCTGTGGAGGGACTAAATGGCAGAAGATGACTGTAAATCATTAATAAGCTGCTTTTATCCACTTGATGCAGGTCAGTGTCCTGAAGGAATGGATCACAACAGAATAAATTAGCCGTCTTCTCACCTCCTGCGAGCTGCAAACTAAAATGCAGTCCTGTTTTAAAGTACAGGGTTGTTTTTGTGTGAATATGTGAATGTTCAGGGGGACAAAATCTGCCAAAATATCCCCACAAAAACAGTAACTCTCAACATTACAGTTTGGGGATGCCTCCACAAGGTACATTACTTTTTTATATAGCAGGCGGCATCTTCTTTTAAATCTTTTAAGTGTCAAAATATTTTTTTTTTTTAAACTTCTGTCAATTTTCATTTTTGTGCAGTACAGAATGGTCAATCTTCAAATGAGTCTTTACCTGTTTTCTGTATGGGTATAGTAGACCACTGGGCACAGAGAGAAAAAATAAAACTCCTCAAGGGAGAAAATAATCCTCTGGTTGTGCAAGACCCAGGGATTGCCTTCCCTCCAGGGAATGAGTCTCGTGATGTGTTCAAAATCAGGTTCTGGATTGTGGATTCGTAGTCCTTAGGCATTTCATCTGGAATACTGCAAATCAGTGGGTAACTCGTCTGGTCTGAAATAAATTCGATCCTGATGTTCTCAGGTCTGTCAGTCCTGGATCACTCTGTTCAAGGGTCTGTCATCCTAGGGTCTAGTGTCACAGGTCCCCTGGACACAGGTTCTCCTTGCCATTGGTTGACCCAGATGTCTTGGGGACCAGGCAGTGGAAAGATAAGGACCTGGAGACTGTAGTTTGGCCAGGCTGAAAATAATACTGAGGGTGGAAAAGAAAGTATCAAATAACATGTTCTGAGTAGCAGCAGCAGTAATGGATTATAACTTAAGAGTAACAAAAGACTGAACACATAGGTCTTAAGCCTTGATTTAAAGGCTGAGTCACCAAGTAAAAACAGAACGGGATTCAATGGGGAAGCCCCCACAAAGAAGAGGAAACATGTTTGTATGTGTTCGTGGGCAAGTGTGTGTGTGTGTACTGTGTGTTTATTCTTTTCTTATGACCTGTACAAGAAGAAGAAACTCTGAACGTGCTCTTGTGTAAATTCTCTCCCCTTAAAAAAGAAATAGTTTATTGAAAGCATGTGTGAGGCTGTTATTTTTCACCCCCTTTGCTTTGAAAAGCAGGTCCTTTATTTTCTAACTTCCAACATGAGCATCTAAGGTAACGTAAATCTGACCCACAGGGATTTGTGATGAACATTTGTTTTTTTACGGATTGTATTATTACTGTAAAATTGACAGTCTGCAGGAAAATACTGCATTTACACATAATGACACGATACACTGCTGCAGTCTTGCTTTTTTAAGTGGTTCATTAATGAAGAGTAAAAATACAATTTGCTTAACATCTCGCTCTCCTCCATTGTCATCTTGTTGTCCTTGATGTATAATTACAACGACAACACTGAAAAAGATCTTTTGACATCAGCACTGTAGCTTGGAGCAGTTTTCAAACTGTACTGAATTGACGCTATTGTTTTGATAATCAGATAGCCCCAGCAGCCTTGAGGGCCTGTTCAGAACCGAGGAAATAATGAGCCGTGAAATGGTGGCATTTTCATTGAGAGAGCTTTTAATAGCTGAGATCTACTGTGCTGGGAACATTTGTTTCAGGTTTTGCACAACAGTACTTGTGCAGGAGGATACAAAGCTGTCATAAATCTTGCACTTGTAGATTACTTTATATACATTAGTGGGCTGTGTTCTCATTAAATATAATGAAGAAGTTTGTCTGGTATAGGCCAGTTCAGAAATGGCCTACAGTATACTGGCCTATACAAGTTATCTGTAATTTGGTACCACCTGAAATGAAGTCAGATTTTGATGGGAAAAATCTTGTGTGTTGAAAACCGAAATTTGACATTTTTTCAAGGTTTCTTGGTGGCACTAATAATCATAAAGTTGGAAAATGTTTCAGGAGCATTTTCTAACTTAAATATATACAGTATATCATTTAAATGAAAACTTAAATGCATGGGTCTGAGAGTTATTTATTTAATCAGTTTTATAAGGCTTCTTAAATTTCTCAAAACCTTTTCAGCTAATTGAAAACTTATCTCCTTTTATACAAAGAAGTAGTTGAGAAACTTTCAAAGTTGTCATTCTGTTAATGTTAAAAAGTGCAAACATGTTATGTAACACAACTAATGGATGAATACTCCATGAATTCTCACTTCTGCACAGTAACTGTATTGGACAGCATATAGATAAGTAATGAGCCTGTGGATAAATGTGATTAAGTTCTTAATTAAAATACTCAGTGTTATGGCCGATGTGATCGTGGACATCATAGGACTCAGTGGTTTGCTGTTTGACATACTGTAGCTACACAGTCAAGTCAGTCAACACAGCCAACCGTTACAGGTTAAAAGGCAATAGAATATCTGCATGGGTAGTCTCTGATGTATACAGTATCTTTACTGTAGGCCACTGGAAAACAATTACTTGTTTCTTTCTTAATCAACACGTGTATCAGATCTGTCATTTTGATTGTTGGGAGACACCTCGGTGTTTGTATGTTCAGTGGCTGTCACTTATTCTCCTCAGGGACCTGATGCCTAAGACCCTGGAGGGCCAGATCACCATGGAGAAGACCCCCAGCTACTTTGTGACCCGGGAGGCTCCGGCTCGGATCTGCGCAATGTCCCGGGACACCAAGCTGATCGTGGTGGTGCGGGACCCCGTCACCAGGGCCATCTCCGACTACACCCAGACTTTATCCAAGAAGCCCGACATTCCCACCTTCGAGAGCCTGACCTTTAAAAACAGGACTACGGGTCTGATCGACACCTCCTGGAGTGCCATCCAGATTGGCATCTATGCCAAGCACCTGGAGAACTGGCTGCAGTACTTCCCCATGGGCCAGATCCTCTTCGTGAGCGGGGAGCGGCTGATCAGCGACCCGGCCGGAGAGCTGGGCCGAGTCCAGGACTTCCTGGGCCTCAAGAGGATCATCACAGACAAACACTTCTACTTCAACCAGACCAAGGGCTTCCCCTGCCTGAAGAAGGCCGAAGGCAGCAGCAAACCCCACTGCCTGGGCAAAACGAAAGGCAGGACCCACCCCAATATTGACCCAGAGGTGGTGCAGAGACTTCGGGACTTTTACAGACCCTTCAACATGAAGTTCTATCAGATGACTGGCCATATATTTGGCTGGGAGGAAGAAACAGACATTACACTCAATTTGTGAAATACAATGAGGAACTCAGCCTACAGGGGTTTCAGTAAAGGACATGATTTTGATTTGAAATGAGTCTCCGTCTAGGTGGGATCGAGTTATCTGAATTTTGGATTTAGGCACAAATTTCAGGGACACCACGCCATTGTTCAGCAAAATTCAATCAAAGCAATATGCTTTGGGAAGAAAAGTGAGTTAGCCAGTTTTGTAAAATGACTTGAAATATTAACACTGCAATGAATTTTTTAACTAAAGCTTCAGTGCACTTAGGGGATCTGATAAATATAACTGTAAAGCAGTTTTTTGGGGTCTTGAAAAAATTCTATTTTATTTTAATGTAGTATTCAGTTTCCAGAGAGCGTAGCTTTGAAATATTGAAATATTTTCAAGGACTGGGAAAAAAGCCATGCAGACATCATATGCAGAAATGTCATCAATATAATATTTTTTCTCTTTGTGGGGGTAACCAGGTCTGAGTGAATGTGCAATGCTTTTATTGATGTGTCTATTGTCCCTTATGAAGGCTGGGTTCTTGATGTATCTTCCTGCGTGAAGATATTACTATAAATCCAACCAAGCTGCTTATAAGCTTTGTGTTTAAAAAATAAATGATAAAAAGAAATGTATTTTTGGAAATTATTTATTTAAAGCAATTTACATGTCACGTATATAACTATTTTAAATAAGCCTTCACTGTTTTGCCATTTTACGTTCAAACAGATTTTAAATGCTTGTGGATGTTTTCTTTTGTTTGTGCTTTTTTGTAACCAAAAACTATGATAAACAGTTATGTTTTGTGGAATTTCCTTTTTTTTAATTAAGAGTGTTCTTTAAACTGTTTCCCAAACCCAAAACCTTTGAAACAGATCAAACTGTTATTAAAGAAAGACCTTCAGATTACAGAACTGTTCTAAGTAAAACAGGATTTTGTCAGGGCCTTTTGTCAAGTAATGGAAGAAGTATTTTTTCGGTAACAGCAAGTCAAGATCTGCTGAGGATATGCAACGTGTTTAACGGTGTTTGTGTTTCTAGATGCTTCCAAATTAAACTGAGTGCATTAGCTGCAGGTCTGGCAATGTAGAAATCCCAAGAGCCCTTATGCTTTGATTTGGAGCAAGCCCCTGAAGACCCCTGTCACCAGCTGAGCCTCCAGCTGGTTATGGGTACAAGTTTGGGAAACACATTGTGTTTGGTGCTATTTCCAATCTATTATACTGTTATGTGTTTGGTGTACTTAATTTAAGAGGTTGTTTGTTTTATTTTTTAAGCACACTTGTAATAAAATAATGGAACAGATTATCATGCGGCCTATTGTGTTATGCTTACTTTGTACTGATCCTGCTCAGGTCTGTGTATTCCTAGCATGTTTACTGTGGATTATTTTTATTTACATTTTCAAATGCCTCTAAAGTAGCTGATTGCTGACGGGGCTCAGAGATCTCCCTGGCTAAGAAGTGTTATCCAGGATGATTGTAGGGATCGCAGCGCCTTGATGCAAGCTGTTGGTACAGTATGTTTCTTCTGACTGATATTAGACCATACTCAAAATAATCAGAGCTGGCCTGATGCCTATGGACTGTAGGTGTTCAAACAGAAAACTAGACGTTGACGGTGGTTTCAGATAGTCATCTACCAAAGTAGAATATTTATAGTAGCAATAAATTTATATAGAAGTAGCAATATTTATAGTAAAAATCAGTATTTTATACTGTGTATTTATTTCTCAGGATACATCAAATCAAGGCGCTTCAAGGCACAGCACTTGATGTGTTCAGAGGAAAAATTCCTGTTTGTATTATTATTCTTAGCATGAGAGTTATGGAAAAGACATAGCGCTTATCAAAGTGTACCATCCTATTTTTGTAGCTTGCCCCTGGGTTTGCTGTGTTGATAATCCAAGTGTGTGTCAGGCTTAGAACAAAGCAGAGAGAGGGAATCCTGCATCAGCACACTGTCTGAGGCATGTCAGATGGACTCTCAGTCTATATATAGAGCTCTGGCATCGTGTCTGAACTGAATAATTAGAATCAAGAAGATCCAGGGCATTCTTTCGAAAAGAAACTGGCTTCTTGTACTGTACTCCCTGCCTCTGATTGCCAAGTTTTGCTTTGTTCAGACCTATTCGTCTCTGCTGAAGACTGCCACAAGTGGTTTTCCACACGGCCTTTTTCCAGCTCCTAAACTTTCTGTTTGTTTTCACATATAGCAGAAATTTCTGCAGCTCTGCACTTCTTCACTACTGCACCCATGTAAACATTTAAGGCACCAGAAAAAGACCAAGTGCAGTTGATTGAAAGGAGGTCTACCACAGTTTAGGCGAAAAATAATTTCCAGGGCTGACTTGAGTCCTTTTCATGGAGGGGAACCAGTTAGCTTCAGTCTATCCACTACAGAGTGTTATCTTGGAGCAGTTTCAACGAGAGATGCAATGCATTGCCACATTGTTCATTGTGCATGCACTTCACTGTAGACTTTTACATTGTGGTCACTTTTTAATGCTAATTGTTCTGAAGTAATCCTGTCAGATTTAGGTGTACCTTCTTACCTTGGGGAAAAACTAAACCCCCTTGTTAAAAACATCTACAGACATGAAATTCTTAACACAATCTAACATAAATCATCAGTATTTCTACCATAAGAAAATGAATTTTCCGAAGACTTACTGTGCCTTTAAAGGAATGCATTTTAAGGAATGATATTCACGAAGTATCAAAATAAGAACAGTAATGTATTTTTAGATCTTGTACTCTTTAAAACAAAGCCAAGGAGTACAATGGTAGTTTTTGGAGTGTTTATTACAAAATTAGAGAGAACAGTACTATTGCTGCAAACATACTGTAGCATGTACCATCATAGCCACTACAACATCATAAAATACATTTTCATTTCTACTTTAATTTAATTAGTATACAATCTCCAAAGCATAATAAGTATTTTTAAAAAGGGTTTCCAAAACAAGAAGTAAAATAAAAATTAAATAATTTTAAAGGTAAATTTAAAACAAGAACCCCGGGGAAATAAATGCCAAAAATGGGTGGAAAATGGAACCCAATAAAGTAATGGAAAAAAAAATTTAAATGGTGCCGAAAAAAAAAACGAAAATTTTAAAACCTAAGTGGAAAAAAGAATCCCAATCAATAACAAAAGATCTTTCTAACAACGGCCATTCTATCCTGCAATGCCCAGAGATTAGCAAAGAATTCAAAGTGTGTCTTTCAAAAACTCCTCCAGTGCATCTGTTTAAATGGTACTCAAGATTTGTTCTAATCAACCATTTTAAACTCACTTTAGGTCCTCCTGCCTAGATAGACCCTGAGTTGCTGAATTGAGTTAAAATGTGAATGCCTCTTCCTTTCGCGAGGAAAATAAATCAAATAAAGAGGAATGAAATCAGGTCAAGTTCAAGTTCACGTTTATTTGTCATTCCACCCATATACAGGTACAGTATACAGTGGAACGGAATATCGTTCCCCCTAGTCCACGGTGCAAATACAGGCAGGAGAACAACATTTTGCGCCGTTTTTTCCGGACCCGGATTAGCCGCTGCGTCCGTGCGCGCCGCCAGTTTAGGATAAAAAACGTTTGGGCTATAACCAGTAAAGCTCATACAACTGCATTTCGGGTGTCATTTACGTGTGTTCCAATGTACTTTGTGAAGCTTTATCAATGGATTGCAGCAGAGAAATTTCTGTTGTCGTGTGTGAAGTTCACAGCTTTGTCACAGTACTGTTGTCACAGCAAATACCTGTTGTTTCCCTCTTCCCTGTTTTGAACAGTTCCCTTTGAGTTACGGGAAAACAAAACTGACAGGCTTTGATGGTGAGCCAGGACTGTCGGGGAAAAGAGAAGGTGTTTACCAAGGTGTCTTACTCTGCACGGCACCTTCGAGATCTTCTTCTTCACGGAGAGCACCGCAGAAGACGATCTTGAAACAAAAGGGAAAGGGGCCCGGGGATTTTGCAGTGCTGCTGAAGTGCTCAGGCACGGCTCATTAAAGATAGAGCGAAACAAATGTGTTTGGAATAAAAGTAGAAACCTGATTTAAAAAATATAGGCTCCTCTTTTCCATCTGTTCTCCGCGGTCCCTACGCGAGCAGCAGCAGGGCGCCTTACCGAGCGCGCCGAGTCACCTGAATGCAATTACGCCGCATCCCTCCCTCTGGAAATCTTATTAAGAAGCGAAGCGTATACTGCGCGGCAGGGTTCTTAAAACGACCCAAAAAAGAAAGAAAGAAAGCGAGCTCCTGTACGTTGGAGGTTGTTTTTCTTGAAACACTTTCCTGCTTCACAATTAAAAGGTATTTTGTAGCGTTAAAAAAACAACAACAACTGCGCTAATGACATGGTGGAGTAAAAACAGATTTTAGTTGTGTAATGAATTTTGCCCACCTTGAAGCCTTAAACAACTGCGAATTTTAGCAGATCTTTGCGAGCCTTTCAAAGAGTTAAGGTACCCAGTTATCAGATTTGATTTTACCACTATTTTACTTGTAAAACTCTGCTTGGACCAGGGCTGATGTACTGTCTAATAACGACTCTGAGACATGAGGGTCAGAAAAGTGCTTTGAATGTTTGTGTGCTGGTGGTCTTTCCACACTGTGTTGCTTTCCAAACCCCGGGGCTCTCTGTAGTCCAAGAAGCTGGGCTGTAGCAGGATGTTGGAGTGCCCAAGACCTGTTTTTCCTGGATGTCAAGAAAGACCACTTAATCCTTTTTGTCTGGCAAAGCAGGCAGAAAGAAAATTACAAAAGCTTAAACTGAGAACTAAGAAAATTAGGAGCTACATACTGTACCTCACCTTGCATGAAGGTTTATATTAAACTGAAGTAGTACTGTGGCAACAATAAACATATAGCCTTGGCGTTGCAGAACATGTAAACGATACATATCCCATCAGCAACAAACATGCGTTTCTACGCCAGTTACAGTACAATGACTTAGCCAAAGGGACAAACGAGCCAGCCCTGAAATCTAATAATAATGTTCATTTATCAATGGCTGACATACAGTCAAAAAAGGGTCAGCCTATATATAGGAGTGGGTAATTCTAATATCTCTCTAACAACAGACTTTTTATTAGAAGGCTGCTTTTTGAAACACACACTTAAGCAAGGATTACTTTCATTTTACTGTACCTTCATTGTCAAAAAAGGATAGTTACACCTAATATTTTAACACAGAACATAGTATTCAGCTTCCAAAACGTTCCCATATTGAACAAAACCTCATGTATCTTGTGTCAGCTTCAGGATGTGGTTTATCTCTTTTCGCATGGCAGAAAAACAGTATCTAAAACCTGAGGATGTTTTTAAAGGGATGTGTCACCTGCCAAGCGAGCAGGTTTGGCTCAAAAGTAAAGAAACTCCCAAACAGCAGTCTTCAAATGCAAACAAAACTGGACTTATTGGCATCAAAATAGGGATAACAAAAAAAAAACCCTCACAGGAGTACTCTCCACACACCTTCCCTCCAAGGCTGAGCTCCATACTGAGCTCTCCCAGTCCCCCAGTCCCTTTTGTAGCCCCTCCTCTCCAAGGACCATCCTCTTAAAGGGACTCAGTCACGTTCTTTAACAGACATTTAACAGAGATGGGCAATTTGATCAAAATAAAGTATTTAACCATCCATAAAAACATATACATTTTAACAGAGTCATGCAACAGTTATATATCCACTTAAAACAAATAACCTTACATCTGTTATTTATAGATGGCTCACCAGTCACATTTCCCTTTAAGATCATTTGTGGGAGCATTGTGGGATACTACAAACAGGAAAGGTGACTGGTGGCCATCTTGATCAACACAATACAATACTCCACTGGGGAAAACACTGCAGTGATTTTAGGGAAACAAAAAAAAGGTAAGTATCATTCACACTTCATTTGCATGACATACACACTCTCAAACATACCAGAAGGGTAGAGGGAAAAATTGGAGTATTTCTTATTCATCAAAAGAAAGAAAAAAAAAACAAGCACTCTGTCACAGGATGCAAAAGGACTTTGCATTTTAAGCAATTGTATAAAACCATACCACCCTCTCCGTATCACAGAGTTTCTTATCAGGGAGAGCAAAATTTCATACAATTGCTAAAAAATAGCCAATGTCAGATCCAGTTCTGGAAGGATAGGGCACAAGGCAGGATAGAGGGGCTCACAGATGGTCTCCCCATGGACACCTCACAAACTCTACATAGACAGACAGCTGAGGCCTGACTCAAACCTGGGACCACGTGCTCTTGAGCCTGCCCCCACCTCTTTTTGCTGTCATTGTGAAACCTCTACTTAAATGA